TATATATATATATATATATATATATATATATATATATACATACCTAAGATTAATAGGTAATTTGATTAGATAAGGAGTTTGCTTGCAATATGCACTTAGTAATCACAGAATAACCATTTTACTGTTTTATTGTTCTGTTCAAAACTTAAAAAAAACACCACCATAGCACTGTGATGCAATCCTAACCATATCTAAATCTAACGACGCAAAGTCCGCTCTCGAAACCCTCATCAATTTATACATATTCAGTCTAGCGGAGGAATTACAGTACCTTTAAAAAATGTCTCTAAATCTTACTCTAGAGCTGACCTAAGGGTAGTATTTATATTATTTCTTGATTTTCATGTTAACTTCCAAATAATGCAATATGTGCCCTAAAACTATCTTAGTGATGCCTTTTTAGCATTGAACCTTGGCTATTGCAGTTGAATTTTCCTACTGGTTTATATAGTGGTGGCTTAGATGAATAGTACATGCTTATATGATCCTACCACTATGTTCTGGTATAAAATCATCTCCCTCAGACACATGTCCCCCAAAACAAGTCATCCTGTACCTATGGAAAACATTTTTTCCTCCCAAAAGTTCTGAATTTGTGCAAAAAGAATCACACCTTCAGGAGATACGTCATTATTGTTCAGGTTTCAGTTTCATTGGACTTTGAATCCAACCCTTCAGCTACCCTTCTGTTATTCCTACCTCTCTGGTGGTTTCAGAGCCATTAGGCCTTATAAGAGAAAATAAACTAAAACTGATGGAGGTTATACATTTTGTCTTTTCTTTTTTAGAGAGGGTTAGTTTAATTTTCTCTTTTTTGTGTGTTTTCTCTGTGGACTTCTGCCTCAGCACATCTGGTTAGGGTCATCATTTCAACATTAGGCTGAGTCATTACCAATCTTTCCCCTCACTAACACATCTTGTTTGCCTCAAGTAAGACAACACAGAATTCTACTCTTAAGTCAGGTAACAAATTAACTTTCACTAAGAAACTTTATTAGATTTAAAAGAGGAAACAAGCAGCAGAGACATAACTGTGCACTATGAACACATTTATGGTGCTTCAAGCACTTAGAAACAAGCCGACAATAGAGTTGGACAATCCGAACTTTTGCAGCTCTACATGCTACAACAACCAATCATAGAGAGCCTCGGCTATGTGACGTTGGTGTCCTGTTTGATATGCAGGTGATGATGTGGTTCAACAGGTTGTCAAACTGGGCTCAGGTGAGATGAAAACAGCTCTAGAAGCAACTCTCATCATTGCAAGCATCTCTTGGAGTAGATGGTGAAACTCTCCACAAACTGATTGCCTCTGAAGTAACTCGAAAATCCAGGCACGGTGCCAAGGCGCCCAGCAATGGCATTCTATAGCTTTATTTAGTAAAAAAAGCAAAGCAACTCTTTCAACACAAGGAACCCAAGATCAAAATAACACTCTAAAATACTATGGTTACGTTACACTGAATCATGCTCTTACTTTGAGCTACAGGCAGGGTGCCCTGCATGGCTACAGGTGTCCAAATATTGCGCTCCCAGGTAGTAGAGATAAAGTCTCTCATGAGCAGACGAATCCGAAAGGCGTTTCTGTGCCACATTTCCTCCTAATTTCTGTCATTAGACTATGTAAATTTACTAGTCTACTGCCGCCAGCGATATACGTCTTTACTCGGCAACCACTAGCTTGTTTGACGTTACCATGACAATGTCAATTCTGTGAACTTGTGTTGCTCAGGCCTCAAAATAATGAACTTAAAATCTAAATACATGTTATAGTAAAATAAAAACAGTCAAAATTGTTTCCCTAATTTTCATAAAGAATTTATGAATTGTGAAAAGTATATTTAATTTATTTTTTCAAATCTCCCTCTCGCCAGCACTAAGGGGTGCGGCTAGCTTGACATGGAGAAAGATCATGGATGATTGACAAGTTCTACTGTCAGGGTTTTACAAATATATATTTCTATAGATATCTTATGGTTTGACATGTAAATATAGCCACGATTAACAGGTTGTGAGCAACTCATGGAAAGAAATTACTACCACTCTGAGATGACATGAAGAGGCATTATAAAAGGTTGGAAGCATTATATGTCAGCCACAGCTGCTAAGCAACATGCTTCAAACCATACAACTGCTAATGGTGGCAAGCCACAATGTAGCCACAGCTGCCCTGGGTCAGACTGATAGAAGCAAGCCTTCCATGCAATCAGTGCCACTGAGCCCACTGACTAATAACAGAAAGCAAGGTGGTGTCTTGCTCCATTCTGATCTCTAATCACAAGAGGCCTGTTTGTAGTACCTGCTACTTCAGTAAATATGGAAACTCTCAATTATTGATGGTGCCAGCCCAAGATGACAACTACTTTGAGTATGCAGTCCAGCTTCAATGTTTCTGATGACTAGTCCACGTTGGTCAGTGAAGGCCAGGCATCCAGAATATACTGAAACTGTTGATACTTAACTTCAAAATGTACAGGTCCCCACAATACCATCGCAACAAAAAGCTATCTAGATGACTACTTCCCTCTTTTGGACATCCTGTAACCATTTGGATAACTAATGCTTAATGATGGGACATGGGTTAAGCTCTGTTTTCTTGATGTGCCCCAGAGATCCACATTGTAGATTTTTTGTACCTTATCGCAATAGGACAGGGCTTATTTAAGGCGTTTAGTGAAAGCAAATCATCAGTCATCGATTACTGCCTGATATAAAACACCCATTTTGCTCTTTTTTTGGAATACAAGTTGTGAAATAAGGCACAGGAGAATTGTGTAATCAGTCTTTTTTTGGAAAATATTTTGTGAATTATTTATTATAAAAATATAAATGTTTTCACTACAAACCATTTTACATTAGTAGACAAGGCAATCTACATTTGCAAACAAACTCTCACACAGACACACATGTCAGTCTTTAGACATAAAATTAGGGATCTGTATAGGGTCCATGACAGTATTGCTCTCTTAGATGTCTTGGGTTTGTTAGAATTCATAACAAAGACATCACAGACACATAATTTAATCTACACTACAAAAAGAAATCAATGCATTGTATGAAGTTAACAAATAAATAATGTAATCATAATTGTCTTTTATTGTAGAAAAAGCTAACAAGTATGATTCAAAGTAAGATAAAATATAATACAGATGATTTTTTTTCCTTAATTTTAATTAAAAATGTTGCACAAATTTTATTCAATCGTTTATACATACAAACTTTGTACAAAAAATGGATGGCCACATATATAGTGAAATCTGGAGTGCTAGTTGCTTTCTTTATGATGGTTTTACATTATGTACATGCTAATTTCAAAACACACATCAGCAACAGCAGCTTCCAAAGGTAGACAGAGTAAAGGAAGACAGAACTTAACAGACTTAACAGGGCTGGGTTTCCCAAAAGCACCAACAGCACCCATGTGCTTTAATCAAGCTTAGTCTACAGCCAAGGCAAAAACGTTGTCATTCAAAGTGCTACAGTAATGTGTACCAAGTGCTTAAAGAGGCATAAAGACAGCATCTTTATAGTAAATATCACACGTCCAAGAGCACAAAGTACCAAAGTGCCAGTTCAAAAATACTGGGTAAGTGTTGCACTGAGGGACCAGCTGGGTGACATCAAAGCAGGAGACTAGCATTGTTAAATATTTTCTTCCGTTTACAAAGATATTTTAAGGTGCCTTTAGGAAATCCCATGATGTACAAGTGGCATATTAGGTTACTATCTTAGAAAGCAATAATTTCAATAGTTTATTGGATGTATTGCATTATTATCAGGGCATACTGAGACTGGGGTAATTGATGATGAACACAAGAAATACTTAATCACATAAAAAAAGCGTTTCCTTGGTGATCCAACCATGATCAAGCTCAACAACAGGAGGCACTCTAATCTTTGCTTGGAAAAAAGAACAAGATTCATTAGTTAGAAGTTAGTTTTCTACATTTTCCAGTAAACAAATGAATTTAAATGAAAATGACAAAAGTTTTTTTTTTTTACATTGCTTTAATCAGTGAGCTGTGTCTGAAAACATAAGACTGACCACCCTGTGACCAACCAAGAAACATCTGCTGAGTAAATGGACTGATGGTGCAAACTTAATCTCAGAGTCATACTTTAAAACATTGCGTCACATTAACTTTACTTTTAGATTATTAAATTCTGACTCACTTCAACCCTATGCCAATTTCTACCCCCATTGTTACCATTACTATTTAGACCCTTTCCAGGTCCAGTTGGTATTTATAAACAAAGTTGTTGTCCATTAACCATTACTTAGTTTGTCAACCTTTCATTAAACAATGGAAATATATACTGCATAACTACTATTATTTTTTTTTATTAATTTATGAACTTTGTATCACAGGGAGGTTCCATTTATTTCTGTTCTTATGCCAAATTTGGTCAAGTTTGACAAACAAGAGCCCAGGACAGACCACAATACTGTAGATCTAAGAAAGCCCTATTATTAACTGAAGTTTTGAAAGTTTTTTTTAAACAGTTTTAAAAGTAGCAACAAAATGTTTGACTAGTTTACATTACTTGAAGAAGGTGGGTCGGTGCAAAGTATCCTGCATCAAATACTGTAATGCAACTGTGTACCCAGAACAGTCAGGTTTTAAACAATCACAACTAAAAAGGTATGGCATTGGGGAAGGGAGAAATTACCAAAAACTGACAACTCACTTCCTTGCATTTGTTTTGATCGAAACATGTCTTTTTTTCTTACCTTAATACATTTGATCACAATCCCCCCAGCTATCTACTGATTTGTTTTTGTAGGGGAAAACAGGGTATAGACATCCTGAGAATCCATACAAAGGTGGTGTGGTATGGTATAGTTTGCAAGAACAGCACAAAGAACAATGGTGTCATAAATAATGAAACTTCTGGGTGTGCAGTGTTTTATGGCCACTTTGCCTTCAAAGCACAGTATTTAATACATTACACATGTGACATAACCATGGCTTCACCACAATGAATGAGTTTGATAGATTATAACCTTATTGCTTTTAGCAGCATGTCCACTGAATGCAAATGCTCTATGTTAGAGATAAGGATTAAAACAGTTAATGTCAAAGTGAGTCCATATGAGGGAGTCCCTGTCTTGGACTGAGTATTAAACATAGGTAGCTGCAACTAATGTTCCAGCCTCAGACTTAATCAATGCGGGAGAAGTTCCCACACAAGTCAGTTGAGGTTGCCTGCCATGCTCTTGTACACATGGCGTTTCAGCTGTTTTTCCACCTCCCTCAGAGGCTGACGTAGGTCAAGGACAGCTCCAGCATTCTCTTAATCCCTGCCCTGTTTTCCAATATTGACCAGGTTTTGGTCCCTGATCATTTCTTTCTGATCTCCTTACCTTTCCATTTATCTTCTCTCTTTATAAGTCAGTAAGGCATCTTGAACATGGGCATGTAGGGAGAGGGTGGAGTCAACTAGTTCACAAGTGGCAGGTTGATTCTGAACGCTTTCCGACCCCTCATTTAGAAAGCTTTCGACAATCAGTGAAAACATCTTATGAGACATATCTGTTTTTTTTCTCCATCTTTTTTCATCTCCATATTATTTAAATATGTAGCCACTGTGTTAGAGTGTGTCAATGCAGGCCAACAGAAAAGTCTCTGGTGGTTTTCATTTCTTGTTATTGTTTTAAACAGGTACTGGGCCGTTCTTGGTATGGGATTCTAGGGCTTTCAGGCTGCTGACAATCTTCTTCGTGGGTCCTGCAATTGTCACTCCAACCTTTTTCAGATCCCTGGTGTTTGAAGAACAACGAGAAAGAAAGAAAATAAAAAGGATCAGACAGAAGAATGGATCTAAAAATGCATGTGTTTACAGTACATGACTATACAAACTCATTCATATCCCTCAAACATTTTTAAGATTTTGTCACACCTTTTGTTTTTCTGATAATTTCCCTGTATTTAGGTCTGACCATTCAATCCACTGTAACCATTGAAAAGGGCATTCCCACAGCTTAAGGTTACTATTAGCATAGAGGATTGTGCTTTTACTTCAATGTGGATTGTAAGTTTTCTATCACCCAAGCATGTAGGTTTTTAGCCCATTTTACCAAAGCTTGTCCTCCTGCTTCCTGTGTTCCCTGTATTGCTTGTAGCATATTGGAGAAAGGCTTTCTGATAGCTTTAAAAAATGAAAATGGAATGACTTTCTTGCTGAAACTCTTCCAAAAGTTTTTTTTTATTGAGTACATGACTTCATTAGCTGTTATTTCAACAGATTCTCCCATATGAGCTGTTGATCTTTGTAGCTCTAGAGTTACCACAGGTCTCTTGGCTGCTTCTGATTAATGCTGTCTTTGCCTGGCCTGTCACTTTATGTGAACAACATCTGAGTGGGTTTACAGCTGAGGCATGCTTTTTCCATTTTCAAATGAGAAGCACTGTTGTGAGTTGTTATAAAGCTTGGGCATTGTTTTACAACTTAACCATCCTTCAAGTTTCCCTCCCCCTTTTTTCTGACTTGTCTGGTGTGTTGGTTGTTTTTTTGTGTGACTTTGTTTCTTTGATAATGTTCTCCAACAAGCCTCTGAGGTGCTCACAGATAATATGGGTGTTCTTTTGTTTCATATAGTCGTACTACTTTTTGTTGAATGATACATAATATCCATGTACTTCTAAAAATGATAGTTGCAGTGTGACAAAACATAAAATATTCAAAGGGTATGACTTACAGTGAGCGATTAACAAATATAAAATCTGATAATATGGCAGAGGTATTTTGTTAATACTTACACAAGCCCTTAGACAAATCTCAGTGCACATGCATCCAATAAAAGTGCATTTATTTTAAATTAATTCTAAGTACTTAGATTCCAAATGTTAGGGGTGTTACACACACAAAAAACAACATTGATTTCAGCTAACTTAAATGATTGTGAACATCTTTAAAGTATAAAACTCATCATAACGACAATCGGTTACAACACAAAAAGCTTTGTCATATGTAAGAAGTGTTCTTTTGTTTTTTTCACAGATTGCGGCATTGCATTAGTAGAAGCAGTGGAGTTGCATTCAGAATGATTGCACTACTACAGCACTTTCAGCCATTATTAGATTAGTAGTTGTGAGTGGAAGCCCAGCTACAACTCTGGAGGTAAGTTTCTGGTAGCAGGCAGGCCCTGGGCCTTGTTCCTTAACCCACCATCCAGAGCCTGTTTAAGGTGGAGAGGAGTTGGACGTTAGAGGGTGGTGATTCCCATGGATGGCTCCCATTCTGGGCATGTGGCTGGAGTGATGTGGACCTCCGTCAGAACCACTCTACTGAGAAACAGCCAGGCCCATTAACATGTTATAACAAGATATCATAACGGGTGGGTTCTGTACATCCAGATAATTCAACACAAAATTTATTATACCCTGTTATTGTTGCAGTTGTTTGACCTAGATTCTCTGGGATTAATGCATATTTGATAAACCATCATTTTGTACGCATTCTTGTACTAAATTGAATAAAAAAAAATAAAAAAAATAAAAAACTAATTTAGTGTCTGTGTTGAAAAATCCAACATTTTAACTAAGTACATTTCAATTTCAGCACAATCACTGATTGCACAATTGTTGGTACCTTAAAGCAGGGTTTCTTAGCTCTGGTCAATGGCATAACTATCGGTAAGCAGAGTATGCAGTTGCTTAGGGGCCCCCTACCTCTTAGGGGACCCGTCACTGACACTTGGTAGGCCCCCTACGCAATTGTAGACCAGGACGTCTCTTTGCAAATGTAATGGTGCAAAAAAACTGTCTTAAACCCACCTGATACTAGATCAACTGGACGGACCATATTTATACCCCTACACATGCCAGATTTCAACATTCTGGTGCGCCGTTTAAACACAACACCAATAGCAAAGCAGACAGTGGTACTTTTAATTACTATGTTAATAACTGTGTATAGTTCATTACACGGTTGGTAAAAAATACACTCCTTTAATATGTTTCAAACCAAAATAAAGATCCTAAAAGATCGATGTATTTGAGTATTTTATTTTTTATACTACGACTTGGAATTATGGGTAATCCAGAGCGTCCATTAAAATCATAACAGTTACGTACAATGTGTTAGCGATGATGGATACCAAAAAGAAGTACTTAAGCAGATTCCAGGGTTGGGCGGATGGGGTGTTGTACTTCATATGGGGCCCACCCAGATAATGTTGCTTGGGGCCTATTGTTGTGTCGTTACGCCTTTGACTCTGGTCCCCTTGGCCGACTGTCCTTCAAGTTTTAGATATGTCTCCACTTAAAAGGAGACCTGTTAATAATATAATTACATAACCTCCTCTGCAGCCATCAGATTCTGAAAAATCCTATTATTCACCTTTTAATTAAGGTCAGGCATGTGGAGGCAGGGAAACATATAGGACAGTGGTCCCTGAGGGCCAGAGTTAAGAAACCGTTCCATAAATGTTATATATAGATGCATTATTATATGCTGGTATGAACTCTGCGTTACAGCCATATTGGATGGGCCTTTTCTAGCATAAGAGCCAACCGGTGTAAACAAAGAGCCTGCAGCTTTACCCTTGTTGGTTCAGTTTATGGCTGAAATATTGGGTTTTGAGAACAGAACACATGGGATTCATTTTCACAAGTTAGATTAAACAAAAATGTGGGTTATTTGTCCAGTTTAATGTCATTCATCTAATTATTTTTGTTTTTATCAATAAGTGTATTTGATATACACTGAGTCTATTCATTTTGAATGTGGAGTCCTGTCAAAGAAAATCTTCTGTCACCTTTGTCAGACAGTTTTTTTTTAAGTAAATATATTATTTTATACATTATTCAATATAGAAAGAATATTTCTGTCTTTTCCTGTTATCCTGCATAAAGCATATATTGATTCATACATTCTCTAACACGCTTAACACATGTAAGCATGTCATTTTAATGTTTACAGCATCCTTTATAATATCTACACCTCTGTCGTTTGTAAAAAAAACAAACTGCATGACTATCAGGTACAATTCAGGGAGTTATGATGACTTTAGTTAAGATAATAGCTAGAATGAATGGGTAGAGACCTATTCAAGATGGCTGCCACAATGAAACATCAGCTCCAATAGGCAGTCCCAGTACCTGAGGTGTCTGCATATATAATGTTTGTGGTTGGTAACCCTCATCACCAATACTCCCAATACTCATCACTCAATACTTCCATTTAGACTAGAAGTATTACTTTCTAAAATGCCTTTCTAATGTAAATATAACCTGACTCAGAAGCTCATTTTTTAAGTCCTTAGCTGCTAGACTGCATGAGGACCCAAATTTATGCACAGTGATCAAAATGATGGAGCAGTTCAAAAGCTCCCCTGAGCTCACTTTTAATAAACTACTGTAAAGAGAAGAATATAATGGTCTCTATAATATAGCCATTTAATGCTATCTACAGTATATTAACCAGCTGTTAAGAGGTGAGAACAAAAACAAAAACTATTTCTCTAAAATTAATCACAAACATTAAAATGTAAAGATTTTTTTTTTATTTCCTTAGACTTTATGTAAAAACTGTGGTTTCCTTACACCAGACAAACATGAACAAATTTTCAATAACTCTGCCAACACTAATTGTGTTACGACCTATTATAAAAAAAAAAGAAATATAAAGGTCTTGACAATGTTAATGAAATACATGAACTCAACACTTGATTTCATTTCAATTGTAGTTACAAGAATGCAACCAAATGCTTTCAAACAAAATTATTTGCCATTCAGTTATTTTTTTCATGATAAGAAAATATTTGCACTGCACTTTCACTGCCCTTTATAGATGGAAAATATACTTTTCTCATCAGCCTATCCCATCTTTGAAAAAATTATTAATCAATTACTCCCTACAGATGAGTCAGCATACTGTGCACAAGTATAACTGTTCCTCTAAGGTCAAAGCATTGCCAAGGCTGGTGCTGAATGTCAAGGACTAGATTAAGACTGTACAAATCGATACTGCAATCTATATTGAGCAATACATAGTCTGAGCCAAGGCTGTTAGCCTTACAGCTGAAGTTGGGTGTCTTAGATGGAGCCTTCAGTGGATTAATACCGCCCTGATCCAATTAGGTATTTACTAACGGGAAAGGCTTTGTGAGTGACTGCAATGTTTCCCTGTGTGAGATGATTCTTGTGATGTATTACCGCCAGTGGATTTCCACCCACTTCCAAACATGACTGGAGAGAAATTATCATTGTTTAACCAAATACACTGAATAAATACGATTTTAAAATTGCGTCAGACCACAAGAAAGCATATTTAATGATCAATGGAGATGAGAAAAAGAAACAGCAGACAAAAGAGAGGATAGGATAGAAATCAACCTTAAAAAAAAACAGTTAATAAAGACTTTTTTTTGGCAAACTGGTGATATTATCTTCACAAATTCACATTATCTAATTAGTATGAAAAGCTTCTCTCTCAGATTTAGGCCAACACAACTGACTGGCAGTTATTGTAAAAGTCGAGGTCAACTGTAGCAGTGACCACAGCTCTCCCCCAGCATGTCACCACAATGAATAGATTATTTGATATTAATGACAAAAAAAATAAAATTGTTTTTTATGTCACATTTCAAATCAATAATTAAATAAGTATTTTGAAAACAAAAGGTGGCAAAAGGATAATTCTTACCAATCTTTTCATGTTAAAATCACGTTAAAAATATTGAAAACCTCTTTGAAATTACAAAAAGAGTAAAAAAATGTAAAAAAAAAAAAAAAGGAACCAATGGGCTTTGTATTTCCAAGTTTTAATACGTTTCACCTCCGATCCAGGTAGTTTTCTCAATTCAAAATGTCTGGATTAGCTTTGAGTTCCAGGCTTTATAGAGTAACCCAACAAAAGCCTTGCTATGGCATAGAAAATATGTAAATTGAACCAAAAAAAAACAGGTCCACCCCTTAGTAAAGGGGAGGAATTGGTTTGCAATACTGATACTGGCCCATGCCTCTGAAAAAGGAGTCGTTGGGGTCATTGTTGGCCTAAACGTTTTACAACTCAGCGTCCGCTGCTTGCAAGTGTGTTTATAATGTTACCTGTTTGTATAGTGTTCAAACAGCTATTAAGTTGAATTTCGCTTAGATGGGTGAATAATAATTTAAGGCTCAAGGCACAACCACTAAAACTAATTTTTTGTTTTGATTTTTCTTTTGCTCAATTATTATTTTTTGTAGTTCTTTCTGTGGTGCCCCTACTACACACCTTTATCTCATCACATCTTCCAATGATAGCCTCATAATACGACCCCAATATAACGTCAAAGTGTCTCTCTAGAAAATAACTCTAGTTTTTTAGTAACTACTAAACATGACTCTTTGCTCCAGCCAGTTCCACCAAAACCTAGTATCACAAAGGCTTTTGAAGTCCAGGGAAATTTCTTGTGGAGTTATGACTTTGTAAACAGTGTGTACAAGATGAGGTATAGATTATATGTTGCTCTGGGTTTTGTAATCTTACTCTGTAGAGGTCTTAGCCAGGGTGTCGCAGGAGCTGTAGCTGACCCCAGAGAAGGCCTCCTTGCAAGGCAATGTTCTCATGGCATCCATCCAGTCACCCATCGTCCCCATTGAGGGAACTTCCAAACTGCTTCTGTCCAAAAGCAAGTTTGCAGGTCTAAAAGAAAAGGAGTGACATAAACAGATAGTCAAAGGCGAACCAGATGTACAAAAACAAAAAAAAGGTAGATGCCCTATAACTTTAATAACATTAAATAACATAAGTATTCATAGCATCGTTTCATGAAAACAGGTGGATAAGCATCACATCGGTCATCAGCTGACAATCTGATATACAGCCTGACAGGTGCTGTCTGGCCACCACTCAACCATAACTTATGCAAAGCAGCTTTTGCTATGTGATTTGAGAGTGCATAGAGTTTATATTGGGGCTTTGGCTCCAAGTGTGTCCCGTCAACCATGCGCCATGCAAGCAAATATTTTTGTGGGGTGTGATTAAAAAATATTTCCCCTTAGGGGTGTCGAAGTTCAGAGGTGGACACAATGGAAGGATTTGTCCTAAAGGTCATCTTCTAAATTCTATCTTAGAGCTTGCATATAGTATATCACAACAAACTTGTTATGAATGAAAATGAAGATAGGTGATGCATTTTCATAGGTTGAATGATTCATTTTCAGTTATATAGAATTCCAGTTTTTGTTTTAAGTTACCAGAGTTTAGTTAAATTTCCTCTGAAAAAGCTTGGTGTACTCTCTTGGAACAATTTGAATAAATGCTAGTATGAGCTTTTAGAGATTCTTCTTTGGCACAAAGTCTTGAAGCAAAAATCTACCACTCATGTTTGTCCGTGAGTTAAAAACATATGAAGGGGCTCTGCACTCATGGAAAATGACCAAGATGTTTAACATTTTCTAATACAGATGGTCACATTTGCAAAGCATTCCCATGTAGTCTAAAAAGAGGAGCCTCCATATAGAAACTGTTTTGTCTTCTTGTTGAAACGAAGAGAGGACCGTGTTAGAACTTTAACCAACAAAGAGCGATCCTAAGGAAAGTCATTTTCCTTGTCCTTAAAATGGTTTATGCTCTTTCCTGGGTTAGAGGCTAGGTTAAGGACTAAGGAGTAAATGGACTTTAGGTTTGAGTTTTAAGGGTTTAGGGTTAGGTACGTAGAGCATAATTGTTCAATTAGGGGTTGGGTTGAGTGTTGGGGCATAGAAAAAAGTGAAACAATTATGAAACCATGCAAATGTAAATATAGAAATACACAGATGTGTGTGTACAGCTGTGTGATTGGCAGCTGTTTTTGTTTGTGCATGAGGATGGGGACGCATGTTATTTTCATGCTATATATTTAGAACCGAAATTTCTATTCAAAGCATGATCCCTTTCTGTTTAACTTTGTTAGCACTTCCTCTTGAGCATGTACTCTCTGTAGTGGAATGAAAAAATGTAATGTTATTACATTGGAGAAATCAAATTAGATTAGACCGAATATGACATGTTAGCCGCTGTTCAGTCAAACAGCCATTTAGACAGAGCAGAGGGGGGCTAAATATGAAAAAGAAACATAGACTGATGGACATCACATTTACAGTCACTCCAATGTTGCTTCATTAGCTGGAAACCTGGACTCCAACAACATGGTGACTATAAAACCAGGTGTATCCGACAGAGATGAGAATGGATATACAACAACAGTAGAGCACTTTCTGTCCTTTATTTCTTTTTAAGGGCATGCTCCAATTGTCTTACCAAAAAGGCACCTGTAACAAAACATACACAAACAAGTGAATAATGGAAAGGAGGGAAATACTGGACTGGGAGAAAAGGTAGAGTTCCCTTGGGGAATGCTATTCATAGCAATGAAAGCAAACTCATTAGAATACCAGGAAGTCAACCTTTTCTTCTCACACAGTCCGTTGGGAGAGGTTTAGGCACTTTGAATGGTAGTTTGTGTGATCTAAGGAAATGCTACTTAGAGGTAATAACAGCAAGGATATAGATTTTAATACTGAAGTTTAAAAAGTCAAGAAAAGATTTGATATATTTCACATAGAAGCGTTTTACCCTAAATTCTGTATTTTAGGTTTTCACTTCCAAAAGCAAAGACTGCTGGGAAATTGATACACTAGAAACCTATTCTGGGACATTTGTGATGCCGCAGTGAAGATGGATTTAAGGGAAGAAAAATACAGTCGAGAGAAATTAACCAGTCTGCCATTAGATAGCAGCGTCAAAAGCACCACACTGAGGCAAGGCAGTATGCCAAGAGAGGAAAAAGAGACATGGGATCTTTAACTGAGACAGTGGGAGAGGAAAAAAAAGGTGGAGAAAAAAGATGCTCTTGAGGTGGTGGAGTGGGTGTTTTTACAATGATTGAGTCTTTTCCTGCTAGATCAGAGGCCTGTCAAAGTGCTGATGCCCCCCCAGGACTCTCTGAAAACAGTGGTTTGTCTGAAAGTAAGGGAATTTGTAGCTGGATGTAGGGGGCGGCTTGATTCGGAGGGGGAAAGACAAAAAAATATGAATATTCACTTTAAAAAGTTTACCCTGATTATTGCTTTTTTGTTTCTTTATTTAAATAGACTAAAACAGCATGGAAATACATATAGAACCTAATTGGGAAAATATACAAATCCTTATCCTGAAATACAGATCTGTTGGATATGTAGCTTAATTTTTTTCTTTACCCTCCACCTATATCGATCTTTTTCGTGTTCTCCTTTACCTATACTCTGCTTACATTCCCCCTCTCTACTATTTCCACAGGGAAGTAAACTGCAAATGACCTTGTTTCCCTTCTCTTATCAGTTTCTTTGTTTCCTATGATGTTATATTTCTTGCGGCAACTCAAGAGACAAGATTATTGGTGAGGAAAGAGAATGATGTGATGCAAGGGGAAACACAAAGAAAAAGGAAAAGAGAGCATCTGTTTGATGCCAGAGGATGTTTTTAAAGCCTCCTGTGGATTTAACAGCACATGGAAATGCAGAAAAATCCCCTGTTTGAGAAGAAGGAAGCATAAAACACTGAAGAGAAAATTAATCTAGCCCATTTATCGTTGTCAGTCCTTTTGCTTTGAAGTCTACCTTTTTTAGATGTAAAAATACCACAACTGTGTAGTTTTTCTGAAGCTAGGTAGGTGCAAGAGTGGAACTTTAGAACACATTCATGTAGCAGAACCGTAAATGAAAGAATGACCTCTCAACCAGCAGCTATAAGAACATTTTACTTTTTTGTTCTGTGGAAATGTTTTCTTATTTTAGCTCAAGTGATATTTTACATTTCTTTGTCAAATAGTGCATAAAAAGAGAGAGAAAAAAAAACAACAACACAGAAGATAAAAGAAAAAGGTATTTGTGTTGTGCATTCTATGGTCCAACATGGATTATTTTTAAGATAATCTCAAATAATCATCCTGGCTGCAACATCAGGCTGCAATCTCATTACAACAATCCTGAAATGGATCAAGTACAAAACGGTAATCAAGTGATGAATTACAAGCTGCACTATTTAGAAACACAGCTATGATTTCATCCTTGCAAAAAGAAAATTGGTATAATCTAGGTTAAACCGTAAAAAAAAAACTTTCAGCTATGCAGAAGCGGCCACACCTTGACATTTAGCAAAGGCTGGTGGACTAAGATTGTAAAGCACAGGACTACAATACTGATAAAAAATATGTCAAAAAAACTTAAAGCAATTGTATTTGCCATCGATTTGAGCAGGTAAAAATTACATGATCTGCGAATGGGATTAATATTTTTGTCATTAAAATAAGATAATTATTTTGAGGACAAAAATTTGTCCTTTATATTATAGTAGGTAAAATAAGATAAGGGATTTTTTTTGTTGACTTTTAAAAAAGTTGTGTATTTTTTTAAACATTTATCATCTTATTCTATTAAAGAAACGTCTTACTTCCAAAAAAAAAAAAAGGATTATATATCTTTCTAAGGAAACATATCTACGGTTAAATTTTTGCAGTGGAAATATGTGTTGGCATTAATAGATCTAACTGCACTTATTTTCGCAAGTTATCAGACACTCTTGAACTAATAAATTGCTCCCTAGCACCTGTCTATGGTTCTTTGTCCAAACACTTTACAAATAAACAATTCTTTATCATTTATATGATCACTTCCTGCTTTTATTACCCAAATTTACATGCATAAAAATCCTAAAATTATTTAGCATGGTAACTTATCATAAAGAAATGTTTTTTTAAATCAAACCAGGACCACATCTGCAGCTATAGTGTTGAGGTACTGTACATTCCTCGAGACAATTTGAAAACTGTTTAAACAATCAAAACAAAAAAATACATGGAGAAAACAATTGCATGAGGATAAAAAGTCAAACCAAACATAACATTAAATTTGAACATAGTCATTTTCTGTAAGCCAGCAGTTCGTATCCCTTTACCACCATTTAACCCAGTGTATCAACAGGTTAGACTGTTTGAAAAGACCACTCTTTCTTACACAATTTGAGCAACATTTATCTTTAGAAAACACACAAAAAACACCCAATTTGATGTTTTTAAACACCTTGAAAAGCAATTTTGACAGTGACCTCCAACCCTGATTGGACTCCTGTTGGCCTATAATTCGTCTCTGACAGCCAACCTTGGCCCAGTGACCCTGACTCTTTTTCCATCCGCATGCAGAGACAGTAAACTCTGACCAGCTTCCACCTCCCAAGTCTCCAGATGCTCCACTCTGGTCGTGGGCTTTGGTCGGGGCTTTAGAGGGAGGGGGCAGTACATTAGCCAGGACAGCCCTGAGACAAACGAGGTGTGTTGAGCTGAGAGCAGCTGCTCCCGCTGTGCAACTGCCGTTGCCACCACACACACTCTCTCTCTCTCCTTCCTCCACACAGAAACACATCCACGCTAGCAGTTCTAATAAATCACTAGACAAGACTCAGTTGGCCAGGCCGCGCTCACCCAGTGTTAAAAGCCAATCAAGAAAATTACATGCAAACTCCAAGGGACCTATTTTCACTTTCTTAAGAAATCATTAGTCACTGTTATGAGCTCTGACATCTCCATAATACCATTGCCGTCTGCTGCAGACCCAATGCCCGTCTCCCTCCCTGCTCCGTACTGACAACTGTACATGTGCTGCCCTGCTTCCCCTTGGCCCCCTGGGAGAATTGCTGCCCCAACAATAGATGCAAGTCCCATGAAAGAACAAAATAATTAAGAGCACAAAGAGAAGGATGAAATGGCAAAAATTGAAGAAAAAATATGTTAAAGTGCAAAAGAAACAAAAATAGAAAACACGATTTTTGTTGCTAACTGAACAATTCTACAGTATGATTTGCATTTTGTTCTCTAAAAGCTGAATAAAAATGGAAACATTCGTAAATGTGCTTACATTTGTTGTAAATTATTAGGTCTACATGTATTTATATATGTTATGTGTACGTATAGGTATATGTTAAATATTTATATCCATACAAAATTAGTTGGCAGTTTCCATTTAAACTTTTATTTATCTGGCTACTTTTTTATAGGTGCTTGTAATCATTGCAAATGTGATCTCACGATCTTTGGTATGTGAAAGTCTTTGACATATAGGATACAACAGGAATTAACAGTTATTATGAACAAGTTAGATTACGCACTGAAGCTGGAGGAAAAGCAGCAGAGAAAAAGAATTTAATTTCTTGAAAGTATGACTTTTTTTTGTTTTTTTCAGCATACTGCATTAGTGCTAATAATGGCATACTATTTTCTCTTTGTTTTTCCTCAACCACTTCCTGTATGTATAAATATCCCAAAAGAAAACAATATAAGCTCTAGTATCCTTCTGATACCTGGATGTAGTGTTGGCTGTGATTTTGAGGCTGCAGGGGTTCCGGATAAGTTTGTCCAGGATGCTGACGATTTGTTCAAACTTGGGTCGGTTATTCCGCTCCTTCTGCCAGCAGTCCAACATTAGCTGATATAGTGTGGCAGGGCAGTCCATGGGTGGTGGCAGACGGTAACCCTCATCTACGGCTTTTATTACCTGAGGCAGGAATAAAGAGCATTCAAATTAGTTTCCATCAGGATGCTAAAAAAATCAAACTTCCTATTTGCTTTGGATGAGTCATACTGTAGGCCAGTTATATGTAATAGAACCAAATGTTCTATATTCATGCAAAACATTTACATAAAACAACAAAAATTACCCAATAAAGAGCAAAACACAAACAGACCAGGAAGAAAATGTGATTAAAAGAGTATAAAATGTGTTTGAAAGATATGTCAAAAAAAAAAAAAAAAGGTTTAAAAAAGTTAGTGTTTAAAACCACTGATCCATCATTGTATAGTTTAGACCTTATATTGAGTTGTAAAAAAAAAGTGCCTGAGTGACCAGAATTGTTTTTACAGCTTTACCTCATTGAAAAGAGTAAAGCTGCTCCTACCAGACCTGTCAGTCAACTACTGTACCAAGAAGAAGGCTATTACTCGTTTACCTTACAACAAAGACAAATTTTTTCAACTGTGTAACCCGTTAATATCTATATCTATGAAGAGCAAAGTAAAAAAAAAAAAAAAAAAAAAAAGGGGGGGGGGTCTTTACCATAAAAAACAATAATATTCTCGAGAAAATGCAAAAAAAGAGAATGCATACAAAATACTTCATTATACAAATACCAACACATAAAATTAATACATTTCAAAAGAAAAAAAATATTTTAATAAATGAAATAAAATAAAGCCAGGTAAAATATATAGTTAAATCTAAAAAAAAAACAAAAAAACAACAGAAAGCATTTTGTTTAATGTTTAGATACAAATTGTAAGGCTTAAAATTTGTGTTTTCTGTTTTAAGTTAAAGCTCTTCAACCATTGAAATATAATTCATTCAGTTTATTGCACAGATATAAATGTTTAATCTGGAACAGGTAATGATTAATTTAGTTTTGCAGCAGCTTCCCAAAAAATGAGGGAAAGGATATGGATCAAGCTTCCTCAAAACATACCAATATTCTTTGGGATTTGTGTGTTCTCCACACCACAGTCAGAGGAGCTTTAATTATCTCCCCTTCTCTAAAAGAAAGACAAACTGGCAACACTCACATCCTGGTTGGACATCTCCCAGTATGGCCGCTCTCCATATGACATCACCTCCCAGAGGACGATGCCATAACTCCAAGCATCGCTGGCTGATGTAAACTTCCTGTAGGCAATTGCCTCTGGGGCTGTCCATCGGATAGGGATTTTCCCTCCCTGTAATAAGTAACAGTAATTATTATGAAATATTAGAATTTGACTTAACTGAATTATCCATTTTAGATTAATCCTATGATACCAATAACATAATTCAGACAATGTATAGAAAAGATCAACTGTGGTTTGCAGATGTTGATGATAGCTGGCACTATAAAAAGTGAGGGTTAAGTCTTGTTTCATGTCATTTGGGACCTTCCTTTCATAGACAATTTACCTTATAGCAAGCTTTAAAGTTTAAGATGAAATTTTTCTATGCAACAATTTACTAAATCCTAATCCCAAATCCTTGTCACCCTTTTCTTCACCTAAGACTGCACTGTATCTACCTAGTGCTCCATTAGGTCAAAGAGCTTGACCATTGCCTTTCTATGTTTTTGGACATTTTATATGTCGTATTATACATTCAACACATGCAAACCACTGCTACAGAATCTGCATAAGTTCAGTTGAAATGTAACGGAAATAGCCCAATAATAAGACCGCTTTATTAAATGCAACAGTCTCTAAATGCTCGGTCTGTAATGATAAAAAAACAAAAATAAAATAAAAAAACAGCTACCTCAGCATGCAGGGCTTGTGAAAATAAAAGCTATAGTGTCAGATCCTAATGTCACTGACTGCTGCTGATTCCAAAACTTTACTACCAGTATCCATAAACCATTCAAACCCGAATCTCTTCAAAAGCAACACAAATACTTCAAAGACACGATAACGCTAAATCTTAAAAAATATATATCCTTTATATCCTGCACAGATCTGTATCACTGTCTTTCAATATGCAATCCTAAATCCTAAAACACGTATGAAAACAAATTCATTGATAAATTCTAGTATCAATTTTCATGAAAATGAGCATAGTCAAGCCAGTTAAATGTAGAGGGATCTGGGTTTATGATGAATACAGAACACCTAAATCAAAATAAGCCCTCCAGTTTATGAAATGTAAAGCAAAACATCTGAATCATGAAACAACATTATAACACAAATATTTTAACAGATTTGGTCTTAATTAAGATAAATTTACATCAAGCTTAAATAAAGGAAGGGAAATATATATAAACCAAATCATAATCTGCTGTTTCCTGCGTGCAGCAACATTTGTTTTTCTCACTGAAAGGCATGACAAATGAAGAAAATTGTGCCAAGGAAAGCAAGCTGACAGTAGCCAAAGGTAACAGAGATATTCAGGCTGACTGAGTGAGAGTCGCCTTTTGGCTACCCTCCCATTCAGGGGTTAAGTTAAGTCATTATGACTAACATGCAGAGTTCTTATGTTAGGTGCTCTTCCTGGCCCAAAAAGAAATTCAACCCAGGTCTCCATACCAAAGATTTGAACTTAGTCTGCTATGCCATAAAGGGATCATACAGTTATACCGAATGCTATCACAAAATCGTCATATTATGCTTCTTAGTGCTGATGGCAACACTGGGGAATGCATGAGACAAACAAATGGTCCAATAAATGAAATGCGAAAAATTGGAAAGATTACACTTTCCTACACTTCTGCTGTATCAAACCCGAAAACATAATCTAAAACATGCATAAACAGGGTGATAATCAATGTACATATGTCAGTAGATAAAAAGATAAAAAAAATCCTAATGAGACCATGAATCTCCAGGACAACGGGGTTGTAGATTAGTGAGACCTGGTGGAGTTCATTATGCTTTGTTATTATGGCATTTTATGTATTTTCTGGGAGAAAGGCAAATGCCACACAGACTGTTTATTTGAGAAGCAATTCTTAGCCAGCAAATTAAACCCTGTTTTAAAGGGTTGCATGCATAGTTTAGACCATGAGACGCTATGCTGACCACTCATGCACACACAAATACACAGGGGAAAAAAAGACAGATGAATGTCTGGAACATGACACGGGTCCTGCTAAGTTTCAGTTTTTGACACGAGCATCTACTGCAGAAGTAAATCAAGAACAAAAAACACTGAAATGCTAATGAGGGTAAGTCATCACAAAACCTCTTTTCTGCTGCTTTTCTGGATTAAACTCCAGGATGGTTAGTTCTTTTTTTTTCATCTTAAATGGCACAATACATTTTGGCTATATAGGGATATAGAATTCATGATCTAAAACATTTCCAGGACAAGTTAAAGAGCATACTTGTTTAAAGAAACTGAAAAAAATATAATAGTAGTAAAATATAATCAATAGTCCTTTTTTATAATAAATGTAGACAAAAAAAACTTTTTTTATTCTCTTTGTGCCATAATGGCAAGCAAAAAACAAAACAAAACAAAACAAAAATGTGATGTTTACAGTATTTTTAATGAAACAAAAAACAACAATGAACCCTGGGACTTTTCTTAGCACAATCATTCATTAAGCCAACTGCGTTCTTGATTTGTCTTTGTGCTCCAGCTTACCCTGGTGGTGTAAGCAGCCTCTGGGTCGTCCTCCAGCACTCTGGACAAGCCAAAGTCTGACACTTTGCACACCAGATTGCTGTTGACCAGAATGTTCCGTGCTGCCAGGTCTCGGTGAACATAACCCATGTCTGACAAATACTTCATGCCCGAGGCGATACCACGCAGCATGCCGACCAGCTGGATTCCTGTAAACTGGGCATCATGTTTCTAAGGAAAGAAAAACATCCAAGAGGAAGGAGTTAAAGGAAGCAAATGGATGCTCTGCAAATGCTGAAGTTTTCACATAAAAATACAAAAGATAGAGTCTGACCTTTTTCGATTTTTGCATAAAATAAAAGCTTTTCTCATTAGCATCTGCAGAGTTTTCATTAACCTTTAAAAAACACCTTTGACATTACCGTACTCTATCTAAAGCGTAACGGTGAAATCCAAGACCTATAAAACAATAACTAGATGGAAATTACGGTCATCCAAAAATAGTCACATGTAGAAGTATTCACACCCCTAAAGCTGTCTTTATTTTAGCCTGTAATTATAAAGTAGAAAGATAACAGCTAAGAAGTGCACAATGTGTATGCTATACATTAAGACCACACAAGGCAATAGATCATAGAACAAGATTTTTTTTTTTTACAATCTTTTGGAGTATCTTTCATCTAAATTTCAACATAAACTAATACTCAATTTGCAAAAATGCTCAACCTTACTGATTGGAGAGGTGATTGCTTAGGTGTTGCCACCTTTTCATAAATTTAGGTTCAACTTTTTGTTTTTGCTCGGGCTGTAAGTTAAGGGCATCTGCGCCAGACTCAAGTATTAAAAGCTTTCTGCTTCGATCTACATTTAGCTTCAACTCAATCCTCTCAACAACTCTGTCAAGATAACCTGGCCTTTCTAAAGAAAAACATCCTCATAGCATGATACTAACACCAGCATGTGTCAGTGTGAGGACGGTGTATTAAGAGACAAATGTTGTGTTTTGCACGTAGGCCAGAAAGTTTGGTATGAATCTTATTTTCTTCTAAGGTCTTTGTTAGACATGTACACTTTTCCATAGCGACTAGACTCATGGAATGCCTAGTTTCCATTTTTATTTTTTCATTTAAGTTGTTTTTAATATCATTTTACATTTACCACACAGTTAAACATCATGTTGTGTTCATTCATGTTGATCTAACTTATTGAATGTAGAGTGAATATTTTTATGATGGATTTTTTATTGCACAAGTAATTTAAAGAGCACCATTTCTTTTCTGTAGGGCTATCTGTATAATTTAGAACCTTGTGTTTATGTTTCATTGCAGAGATTACAATTTTTGTTTTTCCATATCATATTTCAAACAATGATTGAAGACAAAATGAATTCAAACCCTCTCAACACATTAGTATCTGGAAAGAGTTTAGAACTGCTTTGTTCCAGAATGTTTGAAAAGAAATGACTAAAGAACCTATGAGAAAAACAAAAGTATCCAACATTTTTTTTTCTTTTGTCTCTGTTTTGTATCAGAGGTCATCAGTTGGTTTCCACTTTGCTCTGACTTACCCTCTGCCTGTCAAACACCATGTGAAGAACTGAGAGTAAGATGAGTTTGTATGATGAGCATGTTTTTCTTTGAAAACCAATCAGACCCTCTTCTCCTCTTATTTCATCTGGACCCTTTATAGAACAGACCACCTGGTTTAGTCACTTCAAAGGTTCAGTGGATTCAGTATGCTGACACAAGCTGCGATGCATAACGCAGAGAACACGAATGTGCATGCATTTGTATGTGCGCCCCCCTCTTCGGTGATGAAGAACAGGCCTCCGGGAAAACATGAGGAAATAACAGTTATAGCCGCCATGGGTATGTCTGGATACAGTACAGAGACGTGGAAAAAATGTCTAAAACAGACATTGGCACTCATGCTTTCAGGCCAGTAATGTAACTTGGCTGATCTACTTCAACTAATTTCAGTGAGTGGATCAATTCTGCTTAAGCAATTGAGACATTACAACAGCCAAATTCACTTTGAGCTGGAAGAGTGGTGATTTTATCAGCCTGTTAAAAGCTTATTTTTAAACCATATGTACTTAGAAAAACAAGCTGATGCACCTATTTTGACAATTTAGAGTATCTGTAGATGCAGAATATGAATTCAATCTGAAGAAAATGTTAAAACAGTAACTTCTAGAATAATTGCTAAAGCCTAAACTTTTTTGTGTGTAGTTTCTTAAAAAAAACTAACCAAATTATGTAGTCCATGATCCTAATCAGTGAGACAAGAACTCATATTTGAAAAATAATATAAGACTGGAATAAAACTGAAATAATCAGACTTCTAATGCCAAAATTTAGGTTGCGAGCTAATAAATAGATTTAAATGTTTCATATACATTTTACTTTAAACCTATTTGTTATGAAAATGTAAAATAAAGTTCCTATTTAAGAAACAACTAAAGACGTCTAGCAGAATCCAACAGATCAAAGTATTTTCCATTGTCATGTGACTCTATTCTTCTAGTTTTAACATGATTTCCTTGAGTTATAACATTTTTTATGACAATAATGACTATGAATGGACTTTATGTTTTCCATAATTGCTCATTTCCAACAAAGGTTTAGACATAAGTTAATGTGAGGCTTCACATTAATATTTGTTTTTTTTTTTAAATGTATCCGATAATTTATTATAAAAAGAAACAAACACTATATAGTGTTTGTTTCTTTTTATGATAAATTAACAGACCGCTAACTGCCATTAAAGGGAAATCTGATTTAAAAAATCATATTTTCTAATGAAAATAAACGTATGTTTTTTAAGTAAACACATCGAAGACATTGATATACAAATATCAATATTTTCTTTAAAAAAAAATCATGGTAAAAATTAAAATAATTATCTTTTCTGCCTGTTAATTTATGAAACAGCTATTCATTCATTTATTCATTCAACTTCATGAACTACTTCTGTGTTACTGTCCTTCAACAGAAAAAGACAAAAATATTGAAATTACTAACCTAAATTTAAAATCCAAAGATTTCAATTAGATAGACGGATTAAAATTTTTGATCTTGGGTGGGACACCATATAATCAAATCAGTTTAGAAAATATAATATCAAAGGAAGCCCAGCTGCTTCTATTAAGATATTTATAACTGGAAATTCTCTTCTTAAACGGCAGAAAATGCAAGGAGCAACTTCTATTTAACACCTTTACTATACTAGAATCAGCTATAGTATAAACACAGATCGGACACACCAGAGAAATGCAAGGTCACAGGTTCAGGAGAACCTTTTTTGTAAAAAAGCAATCAGAAAACAGAACAAGCAAATAAAAAAGCCAGCAGCTTAGAAGAATCAATAGTACATGCATAGTTATTCTAAACCAAAAACTAAAATAAAGTTTGCTCTGAAAAATGCTTCTAATTTCTTTACCTAATTTTATGCACAGTTCAGCTTTTTAATATAGTTTCCCCACAATATTTTTTTATAAATAATTTTTATTTTTAAGCAGTTTTATGATTTGCACTTCTAATATACACTTGTCCTCCTTGCCTCCAGCGGTGCATGTGTTTATGTAATTACTTACTCTTAAGAAGCTATCGAGGGATCCGTTCTCCATGTATTCAGTGACGATCATGACAGGTTTACCTGCAAAGAGGAAACCTCTGTCAATGGTGATATTTCTTACAAAGACAGACTCTCACAACAGCATTAAAATTGCAGGAATGATTTATTATCAGAAACAGGAAAAGTCTAATCTATTCAAGAGAGTGGTGAGTTGAGTTAAAGCAAAGGTATAATCCCTAAGCTGGCGACCAGGTTGAACTAATTTTTTTTGGGTTTTCACCCGAGGGTCAGTTAAGTCTTGTTACGGAGTTTCAACAGGTCAGCTGTCAAAGTGAGACATCTTTATTTCTTTAGATCCCCTGATTGTAAATCCATACTGCAGTCTGTACTTGATCATGGGCCAAACCAAGGTTATTGCAGGAAAAGTTTGAAATAAATCTTCAGATCACTGAGATGTGGATTATAGAAATTCAGAATAAAGAGCTGTTTTGGTCCAAGATTTGTTCTGTGTACATTAGTCCTGTCTTAAATGTGGCTTGTTCAACCTTGTTATTTTATTTATAACACAAATTTCCCTTGTTACCCACCCCTTACTCTCTTTGATACACTAAATATTTACAGTGAAATATTCCAAAAGTCATGAGTGCACATGCAAGAACAAAAATGAACGGACCGATGACACTCCAGTATGGATGCCCAAGAAGTGGTCGGGTGGGAAAAAAATTACAATTTTCAATATATATAAACAAAAAATGCTATTTATCGTGAAAATCAATTCATCATCCAGCCGTTATGCACCCCCTCCCACCCACACACATACACAGAGAGCTGTGTTCTCATGACATAATGGGACATTTCATTGACTTGCATTCATTTTATATGGCCATACCCATACCCTTACCCTAACCCTAACTTTTACCAACATATATCTAACCTTAACCTAACCCTAACCCCAGTTCATAGGACAGAACTTTACCATATGGGGACCAGTTGAATGTCCCCATATGTAGGATATTTTACAAAATACTGCACCCACATTATAGGTAGCACAAGTCCACACACAACCGCAGTCATGTTTTAATGACTTATGGGGACATTTTATTTATCCACATTCATTTTATATGGCCTAATCCAGACCCTCACCTTAACCCTAACTATTACCAACGTACTGTATACCTAACCCTAACCTTAACTCAAAAAATAGAACTTTACCACATAGGGACCAGGATTTTGGTCCCCATAAGCATATAGGTCCCAATGACATGACTGTATAAATAGATTAAAGTCTCTACAAGTCCCTATATACATATATGTAGCACTGTTGCCTTGCAGCAAGAAGATACTGTGTTGGATTCCCAACAACCCACACTGCCTTGTGCATGTGTGGGTTCTTTCTGGGTACTCTGGCTTATTCCCACAGTCCAAAAACACGACTTTTAGGTTAATCGGCATGTCTAAATTGCCCTTAGGTGTCAGTGTGTGTTTGCATGGTTGTATGTCCCTGTCTCTGAGGTCACCAGCCAGCCCCACTTAGACCCTGACGGATAGGTGGAAAAAAATGGATGGATGGAAATAAAATGAAAAAGCTTGGTTCATCTCAAATGTTGCGTTGCTTTCTTTTACAGTTTTTGTAAAAACATCTCATTATTCAAATAGAGGTGGTGTTAAACAACCTCCGCCTACATCCACTTCCTACAAGGCTGTGATGGATTGTTTCCTTTAACAACAAATAACTTTTATAGTGGCCGACAGGAACATACACACACACAATCACCTTCCTCCGCCCTCTCCACTCCCCTCTTTCTCTCTATTCTCCACTTTGGCAGTAAAGATAAAGGCCCCCAAGCTCCCAGAGCCCTTTGTTCCGTCACCTAAAGTTTGGGTGTTTGTGTGCAAATGCAGATGTGTATGTCGAGGTTCGAAAAGGAAGAAGTGTGTGTGTGTGTGATCCTGCATCATGCAACCCGTGAATCAGCCGAAAGCAGCAGCAAGGTAAATGGGGTGTGAAAGTCTCAGGATTATTAAGAATTAACAGGAGCAGCTTAATAAATCACCCTTCAGCTGTGTGTGTTTGGGTGTTTAGGTGTGTCTGTGTGGGGCAGCATATCAAATGGACCCTCTAAAAGTAGGGCCTGCACTTGTGCTGCACTAACTTATGTACATGTGTTCTTGACATCTCTACAAATGCCATATGGAGACACACATGCACCAAGTGTGTCTTCTGTAAAAATCCCAGTGGAACAAATGAAAGTAGTCCTGGCAGGTTTCCATACATATTAATAACATAAGTAGAGGAAGCCTCATCATCATATGTTGGCTTTAAAGAAGAAAAATATTGTATTAAAAAAAATACAAAATATAGGATAAACCTAAGTTGCATTTAACATATCAACCTTAGGAAGCAGCGAGCACCTTGCAGTGCCACGGTGGTAGTCTGAAGGGTACAAGCATTAGCTCCTCTGAATGAACACATAAAGGCTCTCCACACCAGGGCCACAGGTGGATAATCTCCAATTCTAAACACATTAAAACAATTTTATGGATGCACTGTACAGAACATGGACATACCTCTAAGTAGGCTATAATATGTATTTGAAAATATTTTTAATTATTTTGAATTTATATTAAATTTTTTGTTATACCATACTGTGTGAAATAAAAATAAATAAATTTAGGCGGCATAGTGGCATAAGTGGTATTTAAATAGCACGAAACGCTAATAGCCCTCCTGGCTATTTAGTATTTTTATGTTCTCCCCATGCAGGGATGTTTTCAAGGTAGTCTGACTACCTCCCACAGACCAAAAACACAACAGTTAGGTTAATTGGTCTGTCCCCATTTTTCCTTTGTGTCTCTATTTTTCCCTGTAATGGTCTGGCGACATCTCCGGGGTGTACCTCACCTTCACCATTGGGGATTGGCAACACCCCCCTCCTGAAACTGCTAGCATAAACAGGAATACAGATAACCGATTAATGTTTTAATTGTAATACTCTAATATATTCACTTTCCAATGATTTTTCAGTGTATTATCTGTACTGTAATGGGTAAATGTATGTTTCTTAAAAAAGGTTGTTTGTATGATAAAAATGTTGTTTAACTTAAAATGTTAAACAAGTTTGGTCAATTTGACAGTAAAGCTTTAGATATGAAAAGTCCTTCGAAGTTGATAGAATTACAGCAATATTTCCGGACTTTAACGTCGTTGGCAAAATTATTTTGGAGAATACATTTAGTAATCATACGTTTTTATTCTTGCCTCACTGTCTAGTTTGTTCTTCCTATATTTTTTCTTGTAATATGAGATAAAGAACAGGAAATAAGGGTGAAGTATGTAAACCCAATTTCACGAAGTAGGCAAAGAAGTAAGTTTTTTTAAATTATGGAAAATCTAAAAAGCAAAAAAATGAGATAAAAATGCAGGACTATAAAAGTCATGGTACTTTCTTCAGGTATTTTATTCAGCTCTTTAGAACAACAGTTGTGGCTGAACTGCTTAACTAGGCAAGTGCCGCAGGGGTAGTAAAGAGGCCAGGCCTATTTCTTAGCGGCAAAGTTCAGACTCATTATTTCCCTCTTTTCTCAGTTGTTCCCTTTTAAAGAGGCCTTGTGTGAGCTAATGATGGTCTTATAAAGAACCCCAGAGGGGTGCAAGTCAGAGATATGGATTTATGGATTTAATGCTTGTGCCTGACACAGACTTTGATCAGAGCACATAGATCTTCAGAGATTTATTCCACAGCAGCTCAATAAAAGTTGTCGCTTTTACACAGACGTGTCGGGCATTTGAGGAACCATATGTCAAAGACAATTGCATATCCAGAATAAAAAAATAAAAAAAACATTATTCTTAATCTCAAAACCTTGTTTTTTCTTCCAATTAGCTTTTGCTTTTTTTGTTACAATGAAGAAAAACAACCCCAATACTATTAAATGCAAAATACAGTGCGTAGAAAAGCATGGGCTTTAATTTTGTAAATTTTGTTACATTTATTTGCATTTACACCACAAACATTTAATGTATTTATTTCTTAGGGATGTAGTAGGGATTGCGTTTTTTTTTTTTTATTACCCTAATCACACTTTTTATACAAATTAACAAGTAAAAAATGTTTTAGTAAAAGGTTCTAAATAGTAAAATATTTCATATTGTCATTTCCAAAAATCTGAGACCCTGATCAACTCTTTTTTTTATCTGCTTGAAAATTATGTTTTCTTTTTTGGTCACTAACATATTGAAACACAAAAAGAAGGTCTGAGTTACTAAGGTTAGAAAGGAAAATGTTTGAAGTTCATACATACTTAGCTTATGTAGTCATTGATTGTCATCTCAGACATTCATTAAGCTAATTTATTCTGCTGCAGTGGTTAACGAAATGGGGAGTTTCACAAACTAGTTTTCCTTTAATCCATAAATATTTGATATGAAAATGCACTTACTGCGTGTCACTACACCCTCCAGCCTGATGATATTTGGGTGATCAAACTGTCCCATGATTGATGCTTCAGCAAGGAAATCCCGCCTCTGTTTGTCTGTGTAACCACCTTTAAGAGTTTTGATGGCCACACATATCTCCTTCTTGCTGGGCAGCTTCAGACGACCACTGCAAACCTCTCCAAATTCACCTGAGGAGAAGAAAATATAGACACAATCCAAATTAATCATTTGTATATATATTTTTTATGTTATTTCTCTTTCTTTTTTTTTTTTTTGCACAACCACTTGTGTTGCACCTCTGCATGCAACACCTTGCAAATGTTCATGCCGGGAGATGTTAGAAGTGAGACTTCCAGATTTATTTCTCAATACAGTCAAATTATATACCAAAGGAGACCTGGATCATAGAGTGTGGTAGTAGAGATGGAGCAACAGTCTGGAAAGATTTAAACTAGAATAATTACAACCTGTCTAAATACCAAAAAGTGTTTCTGTTCTACCCTGCTTTGCTTCATTCCTCTGGCCTTCAGCTATGTATAGGAAAACCAGGCAGAGGCACTTTCTTCATGTGGTTACTGTGAGAAAGAGAATCCTTCTCTAATAAGGCTTGATTAGGGAAACTCACTCCTTTCCTTCTTTTTTGGAGAGCGAGGGTATCCAGATTTGATGATCAAGTCTGGCACATCTATGCAGAAAGGGAGTCTGTGTTTTTCTTACGTTTTGATACAGGGTCACAAGTAAGAGACCAAAGTCAAGCTAATGAGCACAGATGGAGCGGACAGAATTGAAGAAAGAGAAGGTATGTTGTCTTTGGTTAGACTGCTTCTCTGTCTTTATTGGTATTCTGTCCATTAGTCTGCAGCTGAAGACTAACCAAGCTTACTACAGTTAAAGACTAGTATTCCTTTCCGATTTGAAGTTGTCAAGTTAAATACAAACCAAGCGTAACTTCTTTTTTTTTTATTTGACTTTGCATTTGAAAACATGTGCACTTTCATCTTGGTACTGATATATTTTATTAAAAAGAGATCAATGCAAAGATTTGACAGGTACCACACAAAACAGTTCTATTGATTACTGCAAAATTAAACCTTACAAGAGAATAAAACAGTATTGAAGTACAGTAAGTGATACTTTATTATAATTTTGACATTTTAATATCCAAAATGTGGAAACACTATGAGTATATGCAGGTCTAAAAGGGTATAGATCAGAGTTCTTCAACGTTTTCTAGGCCAAGGACCCCCAAACTGATGGTGAGATGGAGTGCGGTCCCCCTAATTATATATATTGTATGAAATAGTGTTATATCAAACTGGTCCTATAGTCAACCTATTACATATAGAGTGACCCTGGGATTATTTAAGTATTTCTGATTCCTCGTTGATGGGACAGGTGTTGTGCATGAAACAGTGCTTGAAAGAGCTCCTGTGTGCCATTGAATGCGTTGAAGACTGAAAGACATCTTTTGCCTTCATTTATCGTTTACTACAGTGTGTTGAATTTATGTTAATGTGTATCAAAATACATTTCAATTAGTGGAAAAAATTGCAGGGGGAATATAAAAAAAAAAGCGTAATCAACCAAAACTTTTGTGACCCTCATGAAGTACCTCCGTGGACCCCCTAGGGGTCACAGACCCCCTGTTGAAGACCCCTGGTATAGATGACAGATACTGGGGTATAAATTATAAATTGCCTATTGCCTATCTAGAAATTTAGAATACAGTAGAAGGCCCTTGGCAACAATGATAGAAAAAAACGCAACAAACACTGATGCAGGACAACAATGTATTCTTCATCTAACTGCATTTTTAAATATAAAGCTCTTTATGCAGTTTCCAGGCTTCTAATCTTATTTGCAATGTTCCATCTTTCCTTGTGGTGTGGACCCTTCCAACAACATTGTGTTTTTAGTGCTGTTAGTAGCCTTGTTTAATCAGAGATATTTAGTCCCATGCAAGAATGTCTCAGTTCATTTTAAACTGACTGGGCATCAAGTTCACTGTTGAAGCTGAAATCTGAGTCCTTCTGTTTCTTTTGGTTGTTTATTTTTTCTTGTTTGGTGCCAATTAATTTCTTCAGTCATCTTGTTTTTACATCTTTGTCAAAGATTTACACAATGCTGGTCCATAAAATATTTTTTTTCATCCTTAATATGTAAGGATTCAGCTTGGGGTGAGTCTTGTCCTCTGGCGTAAACCCCCTGGGTATTGCTTCTATGTTTTGGTGTCATTTAATTTCCTTGTAAAGTCGTATGTTAATTGGATTTCCCTGTGTTCTAACATACTGCTGGTAGAATTGGTAGAATTTCCAGGTTTCTCTAGCTGGGTTTCTCTTTGTGGGTCAGATGTAGGACATAGAAGATAACAACTTCCAGGCTGGTAGGCAAATTCCATGAAAACCTTACCAGGGTGTAAAGTAGGTTGAGGATCTACTTCTACGTCTTGATCAAAGAGATCAATGCAACCACCCTGTAGATGCTGAGGTCCTTCAGATGTGTGGTCGTCCAGATTAATACCAGGGGGTCTTTCACAATTATAGTGCTTTCCCTAATTTCAGGCTCATATTGACCATCTAACCCGTGATGCCACAGAGTTCATCTGCCCAGCATCCCAGAAACCCGAGATTCTTGTTTCTCACCTAGAAAATTGAAAGGGATGGGATGGTGGCGTATCAGGGGGTGGAGAGATAGGTAAAGGCTGAGAGCTTGCTGGTGTAAAGTTTTGGGTAAACATAGGTCAGTGGCTGCAGATGGGTTGCAGTTGGGAAAACTGGCTTAGGAGAGCAATTAGTGTCTGTAGAGCATGTAAAACATTCCCCCACCTGTATTGTTGTGTAGCCTGGGACTTTAGCTTGTGACCTAAAATCGAAAACAGGCTCTTACATATCCACCAATGTTGATCTGGTTCAACCGCTCTTCTGACTTCTTGAAGTAGAATTTTGTTCCCCATAGCTTATCTTCCTTTTCAGTTTCTTTTCTACAGCCCTCAGCTCTTCCTTGTCTCCAGACCTTAAGGTTCTACTACTCTCCTACAAGAGAGCCTTTATTTCAGGCTAGCT